TCAAAAAAGAAAAGTTGAAATTTTCGATATTTATGAACACTTCCTGTGACGACCGGAAGTGACGGTGGACAATCTTAACCCAAATGGATTTGTCTACTTATCAAGATCTATCATCCCTGTAAGTTTGGTGCCTTAATCTCTTATCGTTTCTGAGATCTCACTCGGATTAAATATTTTTGAAAAAAGCGGAAATCGGATATATCTGACGACCGGAAGAGAATCTTGAAAAAATAAAAAAAACTTCTCGGGGTATTTTCATTCTCTATCATCCCTGAAAATTTCAGGAAAATCCGTCCAGCCATCTCTGAAAAATCCTGCCGACAAGATTTGGGGAAAAAAATAATAAGAAGAAAAAACAGTAGAATCACTATAAGGTCTTCCGTCTGAAACGGAAGACCTTAATTAATACTGATTGACCTGTGTAAGAGAATTATGAAATCTGGATGGGTCAACATGTATGTAGTTCACTATTGCATCATCGAGCATCAACTGCATTTAAGGGTTGATGGCCCGACAATATGCGGTGACGATGCAGCGACAGCACTATCGCATTTTCGACCCTTTAGCTCGATGTTGTCATAGTGAAGTACAGGGCCCTTTCAAGATTCCATAAAACTACGTGGAATTATCTGTATTATCCTATTTTAATCTCTGATGTGACCACAACCTACCCTCTGGTGGCAGAGTATTTGTACCTATCCCTGGGGGTCATGATCTGAACAAACTTGAATCTACACTACCTCACTCCTACTACATCAATGTGTCTGAACATGACTGTGCTGTTCTTCAGAAATTTTACTATACATCTGTTTATGAAGCTGATAACTGCAGTAAACTATCAACACTCTAATACCGGTACTTGGGTTCATAATTTGAGCAATCTTTAATCTGCAATACCTGAAGATGCTTCCATTTCAAAATGACTAATCATGGAATGCAGTAATCTTGAGACGATTTTTCTCTATTATATCCCTATGAAAAAACTTTGATTCACCATTGTGGCTCACTCTTATCCAATTGGGAGCCATTGTTTGAACCAATATAAATCTATGATTCTTTACTATGTAAAGCAAGTGATTCTTTACTATGTAAAGCAAGTTTCCCATAAATTCTGAGTAAAGGACAAAATTTGCAGCTCTCCATCGTCAAGTGGTGGCATCTCCAGATGAGTGAAAAATTCTCGAGAGGGATGATAATAAACAAACAATTATCTTTCCTTGAAATATAGCCTGGACCTTCAGCCAGGAATGCTCAATGGCAAGAAAATTGGCCTAGAAGTTCTGTAGAAGTCCACAATGTAAAAATTTTATATAAAGTCGTATGGACAGATGGACAAACAATGTACATTACGATAATCATTAAAAGAATGTAATCCAAACAATTTCCTTGACCTTTTAGCTCAGGTATATTAAAACTTGATTAATAAAACACCAAAAATGTAGACACATAAATATTTATTCAATTAAAAAAAAATCATTTTCAATATTGCAGTTTAATAATTTTAGTAATCTGGTGCCCAGTCCACTGTTTTTGTCACATACTTTGTATCAATACACTGAACTAGGTCCCCTTCCTCAAACTGAAATTGAGAATCTTTGACCAGCATTCCACACTCCATGCCTGTGCTAACTGTGTCCACTTCATCTTTGTGATGTTTTAAAGAATCCAGTTTACCTACAAGATTAGAGGAACAAAAATATTAAGAGAACTTATTTTTTATTTGCCCTGCATTTACTAGAGCGTCTGCTCTAGTGTTGCAGAGTATGGAGTTGATCCTTAAGTCGTGGGTTTGAATCCCACTGTGGGATGTGGAGACTGGTCCTTTAAATGAGACCGTATGAACAGAGTAGGTGCTGACATGAAAAAGATCCCTCCTTACTCAATGGTCATAGTTTGCCTTCCTGTTAGATGTTCTAGATACATGTATCAAGGACTGTCGCTATTAAACTTTTACTCTGCTATCTCATCATAGCATCTAGACTAGCATATTCTTCAAGAACAAAGCTCTAATAGGACCTATATAGCTCCCATGATCTTGAATACAAAACTGTCTAAAATAGCATTTTTTTCTCTTGACAAAAAAATCATTTTTTTTTTTTACATGACAGTTATTGTATCTCATTTAAATCAAGCAGCAAATTTTCTGTTTTTATCAACCCATTTCAAAATTTTTTCCTTCAAGTTAACTGTCAAGTACATGTCCATATTAAATTTATAAAATTATAATTAGATTATAAAGCGATATAAATACACTCTGTGCTCTTGTTCATTTTCTCTATGTATACCTCTATACACCTCCTCTCCGTCTCTCATCACTTTGTACTTGAGTTTCCTCTGAAGGTTTCCCTGCATACAGCGACAGCCCGCCACATTTCTCTTTCCGTCCTTTAACTTATACTCGTATACTTTTTGTACCTCTGCTTCTCCTGTAATAGATTTATGACATTCAATCTATGAACATGCAATGAAGACACACATACAGTAAAACTCGGTTATAATGAAGTCGTTGGGACAACGAAATCATTTTGCTATATCCGTAATTCATTATATCCATATGGAATTCGTAAAATTTATACATAGCTGGCCATGGGGATCCAAGATAACTTCGTTAAATCTTCAAACTGGCTAAATCTGTCTTCATACTAAACAAGTTTAATTGTATATGCATTATAATAACTTTTATTATCTTTTTTTTTAAATTTTGGTAATTTTGATACTTTTTAAAATGTTCCTAAAATACACCAGTGTCCCAGTTTACTGTGGTTTTATCTCGATTAAATGTCTGGCTCAACCAGAAAAAAAAATGTTGTTGGTCATCATAGTTTATATCAAATAAATCTAAACACTCCCAAAAATATATTGTTTGTTCATTTAACAGGGAAAAATAAGCTTAATTACTTGTACTTACCAATGATATCCTCTTCCTCTATCGGGGGAATCCGTTCATTAGCACTGTCTTTGAGATCATCAATTAATTTATATATCACGTTATTTTCCTTAATTACTATATTTTTCTTCTTTGCTTCAAGCTTTATTTCTTCAGGCACAGGTACGTTGAAACTAAAGATATCAGCTGTAAAAAAAAAAAATATACAAAATTCTCGATTAAACAACCACAGATCCGGATTTTTTTCACAACGATCTATGTTTTGCATTTTTTGCGATCACTTTTCATTCACAAAAAATAAAACATGCAGAAATTATCTCGATAATTGTATGCCATAAAAATATTAATTTTTTTTTTTTTTAAATCACGAAAAAAAACTTTTGCAAAATAAAAGAATTAGTGTACAAATCTACCCTTTATTCACACAATTTGCAACACATGCAAAAACCGATATCTTCTGCTTCTTGTTTTAGATTGAAATTCCCATAGTCTTTTTATCTTTTTATGAACCTATGTATACTCCGTAATTTACATTTATCCTTACCTTTTAGACTCGCTGCTAAGTTTAGATCAGCTTCCCCGACCGGCCCGACATCTTGATGTACGACCCGTAGTTCACACAGCTGAGAATCAAACGTAGAGAACATCCCTACTAATGCTTCAATGGACCCATAAACATCACCTGTAGAAAACAAGCATTGCTGAGAACTAAAATTTTCTTGAATAATTAAGCTTTCATCTTTTTCTCATGCTCAGAAATTGAAATATTTTCAATAAAGATCTCTTTTGGATAATTTACTCGTGTAAAGCTTGGAATGTAACCTGTATCCCCATACTTAGGGAAAGAAAGTGATTTCTGTAGAGCACATGTGTGTCGATGCTCTTATGGTCAAGCAAGTAAATACAGTTAAACTTCGGTATCTCAAACACCGATATCTTGAATACAATGAAATGTCGAAGTGATTTGGAAGTCCCAGGCTCTTATTCATTCAGTATTATACCCTCATTATCTCAAATCACTGAATATCTCGAAGTTTTACCTCGGTCCTTTTGAGTTCAAGATACTGAGATTTGACTGTATTTTTTTATCACTTCTTCATGTGCTTTTATTCTCCATTTCTTTCTTTTTAAAGACCAATAAAAATTGCTTAATGGTAATAAATTCATAATCATTTAATATCAGATCTCAGAATTCTTAATCAAACAATTACAAATAGATCAAAATTGATGAACCTTTGCAGTGAAACTGATCGTAAGATGTACCTTTGAGATTCAATCTTGGTTTTGACCTTGATCTCATCCAATGGCATATTTTCCTTTGCCTTGTCGCAAAAGTATCAAAGTATCAAATGTGTCAAGCGTTATATGCGACAAAGAACTAAATCTGAAAAAAAAGACTTTGAGGTGCGATGTCTGTGTAGAGGCGTCAACATAAGCAATTTTTCGTTTGTAAATGATTTGACTAGTTTGAAAACCTATGATGTTCAAAATTCATCCTGACTAAACTAAAGCTACCGGGTATCTTTATCATTCAATATAACTTTTTGTCACTAAAATCCCTTTGTTGTGAAACTTTGCATGGCATGGCATGAGTTTTGAAGGGAGACAGACCTATTGACTTCACATCCAGCGACATAGCCAAGGTGCAGGTTCTCTATTCAGAAGTAGACTGTCGCCACTTCAACGCCAACTCCAAAACCACAGTCATCTTAGCGGACAAAGTTTGCGAGGTAACTTTAACAATATTGCATAAATTAAACAATTATATTTATCTTGATTTTTTTATTTATTTTTTTCTTCTACTTCTTCAAATGCAACAAATTTAGATTATTTAAGATTTTTTTTTGTCTTTTGCCCTGCTTACAGAGGTCGGAATTGTCAAAGACGATTACAGCGAGTCAGATGGCAAACACAACAATCCTGGCGATGGAGACAGTGGCAGTTAACTTTTTTTAAACCTATACAATTAAAAAAATGAATTCTTTATATTTAGATTTATAAGAATGAAAGTAATAAAAATTTCACCAAATAAACCATTAAATTTAAAGTATAGGCATTACGTATTTCAGACGCATCTTAGATTATTGCCGCTGGTATTTCGTCAGTGATAGTGATTTGCTTCGGCTTGTGTGTGTGCACTATTTTCATTATTCGGAAATGCGTGAAACGAAGAGGGATCACTAATCGCATGGACGATATATCAGAGTAGAGAATTTTCTAGTGAATTTCACCTAGTAAAATTAGATCAACAGTAATCTTTTTTTTTATAGTGCTTTATGTGACTTTGAAGTGTTCGGCGTTAACTAGAAATAGACAACCTCGGAACTACGCACCGCCCGCGCCGCCAGTACGCCACATTTGAGCCACACCTGTTCGTCGCTCACTACGAGTGAGGAGAGCTCCGATGAGATATGGTTTCTAAATATCCAAACTAGAGAGACAAAGACATTGTACATAGTTATTACTTTATTGTCAATATATAGAGTGATCTGCCTTGAGTCAGGGGCATGTAATTTATTTATTCAAATCCAAATAATATGAATGAAGTGCAATGTACATAATAGAATGCAGAACGAGCTAATTTATCTCCCGTAAACAAGCAATATAGTAAGTCGTACAACATTTTGTTGTGTATTGGGACACACTTGAAAAGTAATGAAGTAAACACGTGTGTATGGCAGGAACTACTTTTTAATCGAATTAACATGTAACAGTGAGAACCAATAACGTACACATAACAAAGTTCCGGAATACATGGACATAACAAAGTTCTCGTCAATCAGCGCGATCAATATTGTGATAAGCCTTACATCGATCTTTATATAATGTTTCTTTTTTTTTAAATATGATTTTCATTATTAATTACTGCTAATTGTTGTCAAGATAATTTTGAAATCAATACTTCGAAAATCAATAGTTTTTTTTTTTAACAAATAAGGCCTAAATAGAACTTTTCTCAACGCTTACATTAATATTTAGTTGACGAATATACATGCACACTGCATGATTTTGGGGATTTTGATTATCTGTGCTTATCTCTTGAGCTGATTTTTAATTAATTAGTTTTAACTTTCTGCAAATGAAAAAAGTAAAATTATTGAGAAGTTAATTTTTAGATATTCAAAGACATTAAATCAATGGAAACATACGGATATAAATTGTAATTTAAGTATTCCATGCTAAATTTTTAGCTTATGGTCAAGACCAGAAGAGCTTATGCGATAGTAATGCGTCCCGTCTGTCTGTCTGTCTGTAAACAAATTTTCAAAATGCTATCCTCCTACAGTTTTGGTCTGATTTCAATATAACTTAGCACACAAGTAGACTACACTAAGATACACACTTCTGTGTATCGGTTTTTGATTTCGATGATGGTGTTGTCGTTGTTGATAAAAATAGAAATTTCTGTGAAATTCTTTCAAAATGCTACTCCTCCTACAGTTTTGGTCTGATTTCAATATAACTTGGCACACAAGTAGACTACACTAAGATACATAATTCTATATATCGGTTTTTGATTTTAATGAACGGTGTTGCCGTTGTTACTAAAAATAGAAATTTCTGTGAAATTCTTTCAAAATGCTACTCCTCCTACAGTTTTGGTCTATTTCAATATAACTTGGCACACAAGTAGACTACACTAAGATACATAATTCTGTGTATCGGTTTTTGATTTCGATGAACGATGTTGCCATGGTAACTAAAAATAGAAATTTCTGTTAAAAACTCTCAAAATGCTACTCCTCCTGCAGTTTAAGTCTGATTATCATATAATGTGGCTTGCAAGTAGACTATACTAAAAAACATAAAGAGACTTAATCAAGGATCATTATTCTTTTTATTGCTGTGGTAAAGTCTCAATTCCCAACTGCTTAAGAACTTTTCTCTTCCTTTGCTATAAGTACAAACCAGTAGAGCTTCAGTCTCGACAAGACTTCTGGTTTTCTTTTCCATCGTATCCGCCTTTTTGCATCTCATGAAATCCAATTGAATAAAAAATACGACCAACATACATGTACATCTTCTGATAGAACGAAAAAAAATCCGTTTTCCTAGGTCGGAGAATTACCTTATAGTTAAAATTAATAAATTATAATCTAAAATATTAATTCTTACACGTATCCGGCTACAAAAATATAAATTTCCGGTTTTCTTCAAAGTCTATGAAAAAATATTGATAACTCTTTGAAATCTTTAATTAATATTAAACAATTTCATTTTGAAAATATCGATTCCTAAATATTTTGAACTATTTTGTGTGAGAATCGTGCGTTTGCGTTAGCAATCGTGTAAGATCGTGTAACGTGTAGAATCGTGAACGTGGGAGATCGGTTTAATCGTGCGGATGTTCGTGTAACGTGATGTTCGTGTAAGTTGTCAACAATAACGTTCCAGCCACTGTAGCTGGCTTTTTTTTTTTCTGTTTAATATATGTCTGTTGCACATAAAAAGTGCTGGGAGCTTAATGAAATCTCTGTGGATAAGCGTCGAGAGGTTCATACTTTGGGAAAGTCTCTTATACCTGGCATTTGGTTGCATTTCTTTTTGAATAAATATAATTAAAATTGCTATGATACTTAAGCTCCCAGCACTTTCTGAAGGCGCTGATGTTTACTCTATAAGATGACACCATTTTTTAAAATAATTGTATTCGTTAAGCCCTTGCACTGGGCAATTAAATCACCTCGGCTTTGATCGCCTTTTTTTAGACGAATCACGTGACTGGATGTCCCCGATATGGCAAAACATTTTTGTTTGTGTATTAATGGTCCAACATTTTTAAATAGATAGTTAGTCCAGACTTGTTAAGATTTTTTCGAGTGATCGACATTTTAATTTCACACATTTTTTACATGTTGTATTCCACTATTTCCCATATATCCTTCCTTAACGTAGCTGAGTTGTGAAATTAGATAGGTTTCTAGGTTGTCATGCCATATCAAAAAGTATTTACCTTTTGGACAACAAAACGTAAAACCATTGATGGGAAATGCTGCATGTATACCTTTATAGATATGGATGGTTCTATTTAGGATGTATTTAAAAATGGCGGAGGGCCAATTATATATTTATGAGCAAGGTTGTGCAATTCATAAAATGACATCTGAGCATGCGCCATCGCACAATGTATACATGTACCTCACAAATTAAATATTTTTAATGCAGTAGAAATATAACACTGGCCATCTCTACTAACAATTAAATATTTTTACTTTAGTAAAAATCGACCAATAACCATTACAAATAAGCAAACCCCATTCAAAGGTATACCAGTCTAAGATCTGGCTATAAAATCTGATAACAGCCATCAGCAAATGACATCTATATCGTGAGACTGAGGAGAGAGATGTCAGTTTACAAAGCATTACAAAACCGTGAAAAAATTTCCCCTAGAGATCAAATAATTTAAAAACAATAAGTTTCAACAAATGTGAAGATATAGCTGATTTCTATTTTGGTTCTAGCTTACAATTTTTGAAAATTTAAATATAAAGTACTGTATGATTTACATGGCACTTTGGAATGAGTTTGGACACTGAGTTAAAAAACCAAAGTTTTGATATCAAAAAAGCGGAATTGTCTCTATATATAATGTTTATCACAGAAACTTTTCATGCTATGGTAAGAGTGGTGACTATATATGTAAAATTAAAAAATGTCTTGCTGTCTTATGATTAACAGAAATTTACCCGCACTCAACAA